TGTGTCATTGAGTGTAATTGCATGGGTATTGTATGGATTGAAAAAAATGTGCCTCATTTGAAAATTTAATTTTTTTACCTCCATTTTCCAGGTAAAAATAGCAAACAATATTTAATGCTTGAATTACTATTCAGTTTTTCACAAAGTACTGCTTTTCTTTTTCTTTATAGGAGGTAAATCTGGTTGCCGTATTTGTCAAGTCCTTGGCACATACATTCCATCCAAACGACACTAATGCTATGGGAACTTTGGAGTGCGATATAGGCATCCAGCTCAACCAAAATCTCCACAATATTATCTGGAGCATGGAGAAAAAATAGAAAATGCCACAACAGTCATGCAGCGGAAAACACTACAATTATAAAGTGGCGTTACTGGAATTTGAATTATAAATTTGATCCAGTGAAAGATATGGTAATAGACAGAATGCATCTAAGATTCAATATGCTCAAGAGGGAGTTTATAAACAAAATATGGGCAGAGCTAGGGGATGATGCAGGTACACCCATAAATGACAGGGATCCAGCCCTTGGTGGTCTTATTGATCGAAAAGATTTTGGAAATGCACTAGAAGCCATACCTTGGCCCCGAGAAGAACGGGCAAGAGGAGTTGCAAAGCTACAAAGCCTAACAAATAAGTTAGGTAGTTGGAAATCAAATGAGTTCAAAAAGTAAGCAACAAAATAATGGGTAGTAGTTTTGAAAAAAATGCTAAATTTATATGAATGTATCTATCACCTGACACATTTATTATAAATAAATAATTTATTATTTATATAGTCAGCCATGCTATATTTTGTGTTTATGCACACATCAAGCTATGCACAAAAGCTCAGAGCGCATGCTCAAGCAAGATTATTGGTTATTTTTTTATTTGTTTGTTTTTTTCTCGTGAGACTTAACTATTTCTCAGTATTGAGCCTGCACTCTGAGAAGTAGCTAATATAAACTATCTAATAAGACATGAACTGATTTAATTTTGTAAACATGTATATTTTCCCTTCAGATTCAGTGAAATTGCAAGAGAGGTTTTATCTGAGAAGATACCATCAAATGCATATGATTGTTTTATGCTTCTTTGTCAAGCTGTCCAAATGCTGTATTATAACGAACTCAAAATTTCTGGTTGGTCAGAAGAAAACATTGTAAGATTGAATAACCTACTATGGGCTCATGCAGTTATGGGAGAGGAATACTATGGACTAGAATTTTGTACTGAAAATTTAGAATACTCAGCTCATGCAGCATCTCAGATAAACCGACASTCCAGCTTGGACAACTATTCATGTGAACTGTTTGAAAGAATGATACGACGGCGCAAACAACAAAAACATTATTCTCGAGGGATTGAAAAAACGTATGCTTCTAGAGAGAGCATACGGGACTTTCTGCATTGGTACAAGCAGAAGAATGGGGCACTTTCAAGTTATGAAGAAAAACCCAAGTATCAATTCAAAATTGAGATWTTACAGAACGGAACACCATTTTATTTGAAAGAAGCATCCCTACAGTCTGCAAATGACCTGTTGACAGACTTCAAAGACATTCCAGATGTAAGGATGAGGCATGCCATTAAATATGGAGTGCTTCTTGGCAAGGTTTCACAAAACGCTTGCTCAGTGGCTGTAATATCAGACATCCAACGGCACTTACGCAGAGAGACTGCAGAATTAAGTGGTACCAAATATTCTGCAAACATCTAAAAATGTTGCACTGTTTGATCAATATAAAGAAGTCCCCAAAGTCTCTCAACTGGATATCATCAAGATAAAAAGTACAAATACAGCAGAGGAGGGGATAATGAAGGTTGAAGAAATTATACAGGTTGGTCCAGTTGAGCGCTTGTTCTATACCTATATTAATAGCACCTACCTAGTACCAGTATTCCAAAATGGTGAAGTTGATTATCACATTTGGACAAGCACTCCTAAGTTCATTACCCGAATATACCAGAGAAACAGTGTGCAACCACTTGCTTCATTTTGTAGAAAGGTAATGATGTACCCAGTAGCAGGAAATGCAGGAAACCCAAATCAAGACAACCCAAAAAAGACCCTCCCCCTCCCCCTGGAAATTCCAATTTTCTTCCATACAAACTCTGTAACTTTGTTCTTTCTCTTTCAAAATTCAAAATTCCTTTGTGGGTAGGGTATGGATAATTTCTGGAACCACACATTGTTTCATCAGACCTAATTAGTACTGCTTAGTGTTAGAAACAACTACTAAATGGTATATCATAAATCCAGCCCTCTGAAAGCCTGAGCTAATAAGGGGTCTATTAGTATTAAGACCTCTAGTGGCAAAAAATGCCAAATTTGAAAACCAAAACAATGGCTGTTATCTATTATTTCACACTAATTTCAACATTGTTGCCATCCATATAGTAGAGYGGTTTTCATAAACCCGTGAAATACACTTTAGTCTAATACACTTTAGTACACTCTAATACCATTGTGTTCTTTTGTTGTCATTTGACTATTACACTTTATTAGATACACTTTGTTTCACGGGTTTATGAAAACCACTCTAAGAGTAGTTTTATTATTACTTSGAAATAAGGCAATAACAATTTATAGTCATGCGGAAACTGCTCTATACAAGCATGGTATCAACGATGTGTTTCTGTCACTCATTACTAGTATACTGACTCTTACATAAAAATAATAAACTTATAATCATGGAACAACTATGTGTGTTGTAAG